GAACAGATGAATTATGTGAATGAACTTAGGCGCTAAGCCACTCTTGAGGGGATATAAATAGAAGTCACTGGTTGTAAGGAGACAAGGCTGGTAGTAACTAAACCTCTGTTTGGTACTGCGTTTGCATATTTGCTTTGCTATGTTTTGGTGTGCAGGATGTTGAATACTTGTGGTATCCGCCATTCCCGTTCACACATGGCTTAATTACCTCTCTCTCTTCCCCCATATCTCTAACAACGCAGTGTTATCTCAATTCTCTAAACACCTAGAGGTCCCTGGTACACCTCAAAGTGGGAAATTGAAACTAGAATCTATAGAAGAAGCATTCGGGCAAGATACTCAAACACCCCCCGAGCATGAATTCCGCAAGAAGCTCGTTCATACTTTGAACCTTAGTGCTCGAAAGAGCCTAGAACACTAATAACGACAAAGGGTGTCTGTACTATACTTACCCGGAACCAAAGGAGGCCCCGGTATCCTCTCCTGTCATCACCAGTCCGAAGCGCATATCAGCTATGTGATGGATCCCGTCGAGCCACTTAATCAGTCAGCATATCACGGTACAAAAACGGGAGGTAAATATCACGGATGAGACTCGTGACAGCCTACAGCAACTGGCAGTAGTACGAAGGACCTGAAAAGACTTGATTCTGGATTTCGAGTGCATATCGTTACCGAAGAGGTATTCGCTAATTCCCACTGCAGCTTGCCATCAGATAATTGGAGGGAAGCTGCTAGCTTAAGGTAAACTCCATTAGGGTCTGCTATAAAGAAATTTGTAGAAGCGACGTCCTCGTATGTATCAGCTAAGATACTGTCTTGGTTTGCGGTCAAAGGCATGCAGTGTTTTCCACCGGATCTTGGAAGACCACGAGAATTGCCAGGCAAATGGCGTCGGGCTCCCATGTGGAAGGCTGTTCCCTGGTGCTACCCTCGACAACGGTTCAATTGGAGCACAGATTTTGAGGCGGGAGAGAAGGGAGAATACCATACTGCTTCTTCATCTGACACTGAAGCGATGGCAGGATACTGAAAGGCCTTTACAGTTCGAAGCCGAATCATCGGGAATTTAGGGTGCAAAAAGGTATAAAAAACTTAATAACTAAAAAAAGTCGACACCTGTGAGATTCGAACTCACGCCCCCGAAGGGAATGGCTAGCAACACACATTTAGGGCATAGCAGGCCATCGCGTTAACCACTCCGCCAAAGTGCCTTGACGTTGATTTATTTTGCTCAATTGTTATTAATATGGTTAATAAATAGCGCTTGGGAAACTCAGCACGTTCAGTTTTTGCACCTCACGCTCGGTTGTTTCTTGGCTTAGGCGTTTGTTCCTAGTTTGGTGATGAGTTAGTTGTTGGTCTTAGTCGTACTTTGCTCGGAGTTGTGTTAGATGTTCAAAATGGACGCTTTTGGTGGTACAACTTGCACGGTCAGGTCACTATATATACCCCAAGATTCTTTCCGCAGGCAGCACCAGGCGAAGATCTCAAGATTCCAAACGGTCGCGCTTTCAGCAACCAATACTCCAAAATCCGGCAAGCGTCGGGACTTTGGCCATGTCACCACTAAAAGTATGATATATCTGGGCAGGATACTTCTAAGGACTCACGTAAAACCCCCGAGGGCATCCACTCACATATCTTCCTGTGCATCCTTTCTCAATATCCTACCAATAAGGGGTTGACCTTATAGCGATACTATCTCTGATAGCAAAGATTAAGTACTGTCTGTTGTTTATAATATTTTACTTCCCCCCTGTTCCCATACATCTGTGGGGTCCAATAATGAAAGCCCAGTTGTACCTATATCTTGTAAGTAACGTTCCGGTCATATCTTCAAAGACGATATTCTTCCTTGGGATGCTCTCAGAGACCGGCTCCTCACATAGTGCCACGTAAAGTTTGTCTTTGCCGTATGGTATGATGCGCTTAGAATATGGGTATTTATTGGTCTTGTCCCGGGTTTTGTGGTTTATATCGTTCTGTCTCGGCTCCTCACGGTTCGGGGGGGAGGGGAAATCATAATGTTATAACAATTCAATGACGCACATCGTCTATAGTCAAGCTTACTTATACTCAGAAGCTAGTCGAGAGGCAAATATGACATGAGAGGGATTTCCACGGTAGTGATGGATCTTTCTGACTATAAGGTTGGTAACTGAGAGTAACACTGTGTGGGCGGGGTTTGAACGATGATTCAAAAATGAGAATATCCTGCTGATATTGACGGAATCCTCACCTAGAACACACCTGTGCATTCACTGATCTGCTCAACACAACCACTTCTGATCTTTCTGACCTTTCTGACCTCCTCTCTCGCTTCTACACAACAGTATATCAAAGGATACTCGAGATTAGTTCAGTGAGTTCTTCTGAGATATACTAGGATAAATTCATACTTTCCCTTCCTAAAATGACGATCTGACTGACGTGGTGGTGAAAGCAGAGCCATCAAGCCCCGACACTCCTACAAGGCCAATTGATTCTTTATCGTCAACATGCCAGTCGAACCCATCGACCCAGACGGCGACATTATTATAGAGTGCGGCGATGATTCGTTCCAGGTCTGCTCCAAGGTTATGTCTGCAGCTTCCCCTGTATTGTCCGCCATGTTTAGTCCTCAGTTCAAGGAGGGTACTTCGATAGTCAATGGATCGAAAAAACCAGTGATTATACCTCTGTGTGGGGATGATCCCGAAGCACTCCTCACTTTTTGCAACATAGTACATTTTCGAATTGATGAGATACTGGAGAATCCGAGCTCTACTTTTCTCGAAAACTTCGTTGCTCTGATCGAGAAATACATATGCAAAAAGGCTGTTGCCTCCCAAGTCAAACTATGGTTGATGAGGGATCTACAAAACCTTACTGTCACGCAACTATGCCCACTACTATTGCTCGCATATGTTATGGATTTACCGGAGAGATTTGCTGCCATTTCGAAGGAGATACTCTTCACGCATGCGGGTTCCTATGCTGACTTGTCCTTGCTGGTGGACCATCCACTCATTCACAGCAACATCGTTGGTAGGCAATCCACTTCCTGTATGTATAGATAACGCTTTACTAAGTACCATCGCAGTGGATTTTGAGAGAAAAAGACGTGAACTCTGCCGTATTGTTAGAAAGGCAATTACAAGCGTACTTAATAGCTTGAGTGCATTCCAAGCTGACGAATCAAAATACGTAACACTTTATACGTGGAAACTACAAGCGTGTGGACTGCTTCCTGGTACCGATGTCTTTGAAGCCAAGAGCTTCAAACAAGTTCACCGGGACGCATACAAGCTGCCAAAGTGCCACCCAGGGCCTTGCCACGTATCAGGCTGTGTATGCATGTCAGTTAAAGCCCTGAAGCAAGATGGCGAGTTGCTCAGATTATTGGAAAACTGCAGAAGAGCAAAGTTGGGAATGTGTCTGGACTGCTTACGGTCGAACGGGTCATCCTTCCCAAAATGCCGCTACACTCACCCTTCCTTTGGGGATGACAAGGCTATTTTTACGGCGGATTCCCTTATCATGATGTATGCTTAGGAGATTTCATGATGATGGCTCTTGAATGATCGAAGACGGTTGAGAAGGGATACCAGGCTAGAGAATAAGGACATGTGTGTTGTAGATGCAGATTGATATTTTTGGTCCTTTGTTGATTGTCTGAAGATCCTGTCGCACATAGGGAACTCAGGCTTCTTTAGTGCGTCTCGCTATGTAGTGACCGACCGTACACAAGAGCATTCCTATCCATGTTTTTCGACCTAGGGTCTTCTGTATCTCCTACAAAAACTGACAAGGACAGCCAGCCCATCTATTCTATAGCTCGTCTAGCCTTCTAGCTTCTCTATCGAAAAATTTCTCTACAATCGGACTACATCCACAGGAGGCCATTCCCAACCTACAGAACACATCATACTTTGAATATACGTTTCCGATTCACGTCCCCCCAGTGCTACCGCTTTTAGCGGCTACTCAATTTCTCCGTCTACACTACCTAGACAGTCCCATGCTATCCAGGTCTATACTTCACAGAGCTGCAACCATGAACAATTTATAGTAGTAAGCCGACATAGTCCTGATTATTAATCCCTTCTGCAGGTATATAAAGAGAAGTAATCTGAGCCTCAATGTGTCCACATCTCACAGCAGCCAATTTTCATGAACAATGTGCCTCAGAAAGTGATACCGTGATAGGATCACTACTGGGGCTGAAGGATCACAGCAACTTATTCAACACAGCAATCATGGAGCTTGACAGCGATAGTACTGGATTGTTGAACTGCCCTTGCTGAATAAGTAATTGCATCCTATAAGCCTCTCAATGGTATATTATGCTTCTACATTGGAGTACCTAATACGATTCCATAGAGAAGTAAGATCCGGAAGCATATAGCTCGCGAGCTATTACCGCGTGTCTCACTTATCACGAGCAAAAACGGAATATACGAAAGAGAGATTCAATTGTTCTGTCTCTTAAAAAACTGGAAAGGGCTTCTATTACACACCTGTTGGCAGGAGATACTACTCCTTACCCGGTGACTCGGCGACGCATTCATAGACGATTACAGTGTGATGATAGACCCAGATACCAACTTATCTATCGCAAGAAGCCTATATAGATGTGGGGATTTATATCTATCGGATACATCGGGACTAGTGATACACGGTCCCCTTTGTGCTAAACTGAAGCAACGCCATGATGCCAATATAATTCTCGGTACTTCCAACAATATCGTCATGGCGAGATCGAACCTGGTACTTGGAATGAGTTTGGAAAGACAATTGTGAAAAGAAAACTGAACCAGGTTCGAAAAATAGCAACGAGCACCAGCTCTACCGGTCCTGCGACATTTCACATCTTGCCCGAAGGTCTTGCGAGAGAACAAATAGGTCAGTCACTAAGTCTCTCCGTGAGCATGTACTTGAGCGAGAAGAAGCCTTGATTAACCCTCCTTGAAGCGGGATAAAAAACTGTAAATCTGAAGGAAGGGGGCCAAAAAAATCGACACCTGTGAGATTCGAACTCACGCCCCCGAAGGGAATGCCTAGACCGATATACAGATACTGCATAGCAGGGCATCGCGTTAACCACTCCGCCAAAGTGCCTTGATGGCCAAAGTTTAATCTTTTGTAGTATATGAGGGGCACAAGACCTAGAGAGGGGGAATACATCACGATGGTATGTATCCCAAGGGCAGATGGATCGAGCATACATATCTCTACTCCATCTTCGTGGTGTTGAAATCCTCGCCACCCAGCATTTGTGGCAAGTACAGTCCCATATCAGCGTTGAAAAGGTCAGCATTGAAAAGACCGAGATCGATATCAGATACGGCACTGGCTAGCAGATCTGGAGGGTACGTCATGGTGGGGCTACGAGAATCAATCCAACCCCCAGCTGAGTCCTAGTTCAGCTAAGTCCAGCCACATTTCCACACCCAGAGAATATTCAACAAACAGAAAACAAACTTTAATCTGCGATAATGGTCATACCGGTTACGACATACAACACAGGGTATGTCAACCTGTCGACTAGGTAAGGGAAACAGCTAGAGGGTGAGGTATATTGGATCAACGATGACAGCTGGATTGGCTACAAGACTGATCCTTGGGGAAAAGAAGCTAGATACAACATGTGAGATCCTTTTTAACCCTCTCCGGGTCCATAAGACCCGGTGCCCTAACATGGCATATGCAACAAGCTATTGCAACTCGTAATTCTCGTCCAGGAAAGTCTTTAAGCCCTTCCGGCGGAGGCCAAGCCAGTCACTTAAATACATTATTCATGGCAAGGACGCCGCTTCATGATTTCAGAACCCTTACGCAGCTCGCTGAAGAAGCTCTAAGAATTTGCCAATATCTCCACCGTCGGCAGTATCCAACTGTTGGCCTTGACTGAAGAGGATCGTCACAGGCACGTTGCTCGGGGCGTTTGGAACAGGGAATCGGGAAACATCAACAAAGAATGTCTCAAGCCCGCTACCGGGGTAGTTTCCCGACTCCAAGATGTGGAATTCCTGGGTAGGTGGAACTTCTGAGTCCCAGAAATGGATGATGGTGGGCTGGGGTCTGTTGATGACGTGCTCGTAAAGCCCGGACCTGGGATATTGTATTAGTCTCATAGAGATGGTTTGCGTTATTAATGAAGAGGACATACTCAAGGACAGGAATGAGAGGCATTTTGAAGGGTCGGTTTTGGTGGGTTGTGTTTGGTAGGTAGGAGGAACAAGTGGCAGTGAGTTGAACGAAGATAGAGGATTCAGGAGGTAAGAGAGGGGTATTTATAACAAGACAGCAGAGAATAGTCTGTTCTTTCCGAGCTGAGCTGAGAGTTCAGCTGGATATCACCAAGTGGGTCAGTATGAGCTGGATAGCGGGGTTTTCAGCTGAATGCAGATCACACAAGCCAGCTAAAGTTAAACAGCCTGGCCTCCTATGGTCCCCAACAATAATGATACAATAGTGGGTTAAAAGTCTCGCAATACTTGGCAGAATGCACAACAATTACTTGAAATATCTACTATACGGTATACCGCCTTCTTTCGTCCGCTCAATTCAAATGCGTCACGATTAAGCTCCAAAGCAGCTGGATCGCAACACACATGAATGTTGTCTCATGGGTGAAGGCTTACATACTACCCTTGAATAATCTTGTATGATGGAATGTATGTATTAAAAATGCTAACTCCTAACCTGTGGCTCAATAGGGCAAAATAATGAATCAACTGTTCCTTGCCCTAGGATCCCTGTTAATATAAGTAGAACACTCATAGTGTGGTACAAATCTCTTTGTAGACACCCAGGTAGCTAGCCAAGTACAAGTCTATCCCAATCCCGGTTGAGTTATCGGTACATAAAGCCATAAGCTTCGACTAATCTTCTGTGTTATAATGCCGAAAGAGAAATGAAATGAATAATTACCTACTCTGGCCTGAGGTGTCACAAGGGTAAAATAGCACGTACGGCGCCCTTTAATAAGAATGACAATCATGAAACTCTCTTATTTGAGATAAAGTACCCTCAAGTTACACATATATCATGAAGGAGTGATACACTTCCCTACTAAAGAACCATTGTCTCAGAAATCTGGGCAATCGTCCTTTGTGTTATATCCGCAGTTCGCTTTCAGACTCTGGGACTGATTATATGCACCAAAATCCCCATCAATGCAGATTCCTTGTTAGGTCTTCCTTTCTATCAGGAACGGCGTTTATCCCTTTTGAACAGTATTATACCCAAATGGCGGGGTCGGTCATTATTCTTTCTGTGAAGACGAATATGGGACATACATAGCCTTTGGGTCAACCTAACAATAATGATGATATCACTTGAATAGTATTAAAGGGTTGACGCGGTAAATGAGATATTATCATTTGCGGCAAGGGGATATCTTTCCTTTCTTTCTACATTATATAAATATGCATTCGACAACAGTTGGCAGTGGATCTTCATCACCAGCGTGATCTTGATTACACATGTTTATTCCTGAAGCCGATTATTTCTCCAGTAGACCCACACCAAGAGATATACGATAGGTGTTCCAAGATCACAAAGTGCAATGGGTGCTTCGGATGTGTACGGGCTGTTCATAGGTATCTACTATATGTCAGAAGAGTAAGGACCCAAACGATATGCACAGCTTTTCTTTCCAGGCCTTCCAGAATATGCTAACCATCACATCTCCGTTTGTAGAATCCACTGGACCTTCCTCATCGAAGCCAGTTATGGGTCCCCACTACAACGCTTAAGGCGCTTTCATGCTTGCTGTGGGATGGAATCCAAGCTTGATGAAGGCCTTCCTCCTCCGAAAGATTCTCCTTGCTACAAAAAGCCAGATCACCCGGCCCACGAGCGATTGGTTATCCTGCCTGAAAATGAATCCATTGAAAAGTTTGCAATTGGCGAGGTTGGTGATATGAACCGTTTGCTAGAGATCCTTCGTGGGGATCCTAGAGAAAAGCTGTCAAATTGTCACCATTGGGTTCGAGATACAATTAATCGTCTCAAAAACAACGATGCCTCTAGTAAAGACCTGCGAGAGAAGGCCGTTCACATTTCGGAGGGGAAATGGTGCGAAATCGACGAATTGCTGGAACAAGATCCTAACATGCATCATAATGTGAGGGATCAGGATGGCATGGGCCTGGGTATTGAACACCAAGAGAGTGCAAGCCAGAATGGCATGAACCAACACATTGCACACCAGAGGGGCATGAATTCAGATGGTATAAGCATCGACGATATAAGTATTGATGGAATCAGCTCGCATGTTGTCGACCAGAATCCCACAACTCCAGATAAAATAAGCCTTGATGGGCTAAATCCAGAATTTATACAGCTCCTCAGCCTGGATGAGAATCCGATGGTTCGTCATCGCCAGAATACAGTGAGACATCGTGCTATGAACCAAAATATTCCACCTCAGAGTCGCATAGGCTGGAATACAACTCACCAATATGATATAAACCAGAACCATATGAGCCAAGTGGCTGTGAGAACTAAGAATATGGGTCAGGACAGCAACAATTCGAACAACAAGACACCAAAGGGCACGAAAAGTTCTAAATGGTGCTGCTTTTCTTAAGCAGGGTACATTTATTAGGCCGAAATACATGTGTCTTACAAAACGGAACTGCTTAATCAAATGGAATATGCTCTTGCATCTCTTAGTTCCAGTTGACCTTCTTCTTTCTCGCAAGTTCATTAACGCTAGATATGCTGGATCTTATGCATAATGAGTGCCCGTTGACATATGCTCTTAACAGGCTCCATCTTCATCTGCAAGATTTAAGTAATCCCTCCCTTGACAAGAAGATGTTCCTGAGTCCAATGTATGGATTTACTTAAGGAAATGTTGACATTCACCATAGTAACGTAAGGAATTGAGTAAAGGATTGACTGACCATCAAAAGATGCCTTTCTCACCAGGCCCCTCTCTGTCTTTGAACCTTGGGCACATAAAGAGAAGACCTGGCTTGGTGGAAATACGTTAATGCTATTCTAACCTGTATGGACACTAGGGAGCAACAGTAAATCTCATTCTTTTTCTCGAGTATCATTGTCTTGACTAGGAATTCTAAGCTAAAGATACAGCTTTCTGTTCAGCTTCAAATATAAAAGGCTGAAAGGTTCATGATGTTACGATCCATCTATGATCGAACTAGTTGCAGAGTCGCGGAATGTTGTCAAGATATTTAGTATCACCGATTCTCTATATAATCCTCTGTGAGTAGACTTGAGATACCACAGACTCTGCCACCATCTCTTATGTATCAGTGACCCGAAATACTTCAACTGGCATGAGTACTTAAACATGAAATTCCATAATCGGCAAAAGCATTGCACATCCAATTACGAGATTCTGGATCAATTAAAAACGGGTTTGGAGTGTGTCAACTCTAATAGTTTTACAATGAAATATACACTAAGGACTAAAATGTCCTATACATTACTACAGCACAAGCCTTAGGAGACGTTGGTCCCCTGCCAGCTGCATCGTCGCAAGTGGAAGTGGCAGCCCACAACTCACACCACTATCGGAAAAGGATGAGACCAGAAATAAGAGCAAACGCTACAATCCACAAATTGATAATCATTAAATGACCGTGACTAGATACAAGATGGGATCAATTGATTCAAGTCAGGCAGACGATGCTGAGCTGCCATAATCCTGCGGCGCGTGCTGTCAAGACCGATGAACATTGACCAGTAGCCAGTTAGAGGCCTTCCATATCAGCTTTTGGATATCCGTAGAATTAGTGACAGTAACGGCTGCCAGACCCATTATAAACACTCCCTTGGAGAGCATCCCGCCGCAGCTGCTGTGCCTTTTCCCGTCCTTCCGTATTTCGAAGTCAGACCACGACGGAAAAATCGTACGAAGCCAATACTTGTACATAGGATCGGGGTAAATGAAAGTATTCTCCCTGGTGACTGGATCCATCCACCAGCTCTGGCAACCACTATTGAACACAAGATGCTTCAACTTGTCATGGACCTAAGATAGGTCTCGTTGTTGTGCTTCAGGTTTGACCATAATCGAGTCGGCCTTGCCCTTCAGAACAGGCCGAAAAAGACGGCACGAGTAGTTATTCTGACATTCCGAA